TCGGGAAAAGCCCACTAACGAATGGTTGCCCTTCTTGAACGTACAAGTAAACATCACTGATGGCAACCAAAAAACGAAGTGGTATCGAAAGCCTATGAATAAGAACATTCTGATCCACTCCCACTCAGCGCATCCCCTACAAACAAAAAGAGCAGTAATCAGGAATATGTTTCGCACAGCCGCGAAGGTTTGTAGTGGTCGAGAAGAGAAGATGGAGTCGTTGGCCGTTGCACGTATGATAGCTTCATCCAACGGTTATGAAAATAAAATAATGCAATGTAGGGCCCATCAGAGAAGTAACGTAGAGGAAAGAGCATCGCCAACAGCAGAAAAGATACCATTCTGTATACCCTTTATCTCTGATGAAGTGAGCACCGCCATTCGGCGATGTCTGAGGAGAGCAGGGTTGGACAATTCAGTCTTGGTAGTAGACATGCCCCCGAACAATTTGAAACGCATTCTTGTTCGGAATCGCATGTACGACCACAGTTGCACCATGCCAAACTATCTGATATGTCCCACAGCAAAGGATGGCGACTGTATGAGTACAGGGGTTGTATACCTCATCTCATGCAAAAGTTGCGGTGACGAGTATATCGGGGAAACAGCGCGCCCACTATGCGTACGCATCAAAGAACATCTCAATGGCAAAGAAAGATCACGCCCATCCACTCCACTGGGCGCCCACAGAGTGCACGAGCATCAAGGAGTGAATTTTGAAGTGAATGTAGAAATCCTTGCGCGTGAGCCTCAAACATCTACTCGCAAAACATTAGAAGCGTTCTGGATTCATTTCAAACACCCTAAAATGAATCGCAAAGATGAGTGCCTTTCTATCACTCGCGAACTATCACCATATCTAGATCAGATTTTCTGATCTGGTGAAGACATGTTTAATCATCTACTCACGCGATCAGTCAGCACTCGTTTATACTTAAGAATTCCACCGGCGATCGAAAAGGTGAGTATTGCGTGTGGCAGCTTGCTTGAGATCCGAAAGGAAGCTTAGAAATTCGCTTGTGAGGCTGACGAGATGCTTGATCGGGTAGTTTATGGATTGTTGTCGCCCATTTCAGGCTCTGAAGAAGGCGACATAGCCGAAACGTCAGCCTAATAAATATTGTTACCAATCTCGGACGTGGCTCAACAATCAAATCAAAACAATATTCTTCATGCCGAGATTCAAAGAAAGTCGCACTTTTCAATTACTTCCTGATTAATCTGGACTTTCACGTCACATATCCTTTACCCACCAGCTGCGCTATGTAAGCAAAAGCTCCTTATGTGTGTATTAGACCGTGTGTACCATTTACACAGTCGTAGTAATTTTTGTTAAGATTTATCTCGACTCCAGATTTGATTGATTGCCTTGACAGGCTCCTGTAAACAATGGCGCCTTTATTTTGCTAATGCTATAGTATTTTAGCTCATTGTGATAAATCCCGTCTTGTCTGTTTCCGTTAGATAGTTGTCGTTTGATCAGCTGGAAATTACTTCAAGCAACTTGCCTAAATAGCATTTCTGTGTCGTATTGAGTTATTCCGAAAGTTTCGTCGGTTTTCTTCATCGGTCGCTAGAAGTCATAGAACAGCGATCTACGGACTGCTTAGCCATCAAGTCAGAATTATAACCTCTTTTTACAGCTCTATCTTCTCTCTGATATATGCTGACTTTGCGATATTATCGCCATGGCTCTTTGAGCAGCTTATAATAACGCTAAATCTTCCGTGAATTTCAAAAACCTTATCTTAGTATTTGCAAAGAGCTCTGGCAATTGTTATGTGAAGTAAACCCTGGTCAAAAGCACTTACTTGTTTTAGATTACATAGGTCACATTTATTAAGTCTTTGGTAATTATCTATTTGGGGAAAAGCGCGAAGTTTTGACCACGTTTAGGAGTATAGAAAGTTCCAAAACACTGATTCTTTAATGTAAATCAAATTCAAATATGTTGCATGAATATTGTTTAATAACGATCGAGTTTTAACTCGCAAAGCCTGGAAGTCTTCACGTTTTTGCTGCAGTTGCGTATTTTATGACTTTACCAAAAATCGTATCTTAAGGAGTAAATTTTTTAAGCTAATAACAGCAGGTCTAAAAAATATAACAATGCCACGTATAGTCCGAGATTTGTTCTATTTAAATCACACTTGAAGGCAGTGTCTCACCAAAATTGAGGTAATGCGGGTCTCCACATGTTTTGTTAAAATACTCCCTGGATCGTCGTTGTACAGTCCTTGTAGCAGTCGGCTAACGTCCTAACTTAAGCTGGGTCCTTTCCTTGATCGACTGACAGGATGGCGTTGGTTTCGACGCTGTCAAAGCTTTCTCGTAGTCGACAAAGATTAAGACAAGAGGCAGTCGGTACTCTCTGCAGACTTGTATGACATTCGAAACTGTCTGGATGTAGTCCATGCAACTGAATCCTTTGCGAAATCCAGCTTGTTCTTGGGGCTGGGCTTCATCCAGTGTCCTAGACATGCGAGCGAGTGTAATCTTCGTGAAAGCTTATACAGCACACTCAGCAAGCCGACAGTTCCGAAGATCATCCCGTTCACCCTTCTTGAAAAGAAGGACGGTTCTTGACGACGTTCTCTACTGGTCGGGAATCCTCTCCTTCTGAAGGTGAGATGTCAGGTGCGACGACAACGACGATGCAGCTGTTTTATCGCCCCCTGACCATTCCAATTGGAAAGGGGGTTCGACAAGGCGACACAATTTCGCCTAAGCTGTCCACCGCGGCCTTGCAGTGGGTGATGAAATCACTGGACTGGGACGAGAGAGGCATACGAGTTGATGGGAGATTCCTGTCGGACCGTCGTTTTGCGGACGACATCGTTCTCTTCTCGAGCAGTATCCCTGAAGCAGAGACGATGCTGAAGGACTGAACGAAGTAGGGAAGAAGATCGGACTGCGAATAAATCGGAAGAAGACTCAGTTCATGAAGAAGACCCTTTGCGAAGATGCAGAAATGGAATTGGAAGGCACCCCTATTATGGAGACGTCTTCTTACGTGTATCTCGGACGTTCGATGAACATGGAGAACGACTTGAGGGAAGAACTCAACAGGAGAAGAAGAGCAGCCTGGGCCGCCTTCGGGCCTCTGAAGGAAGCCACCGACCAACTGACGGACCCGGAGCTTCGTGCCCACCTGTTCGACTCAACCGTTTCCCAGCGCTCTGCTACGCAGCTGAGACTTGGGCCGACACCGTAGCCACGTCGAAAGCTTTAAGGACCACCCACAGAGCGCTCGAGCGCAGTCTTCTGAAGATGATCCGACACAAGCAACATCTAGTCGGACTTCGCGGTACAGATTTGAGAAGAGTGTCCGGTTTCCGTGACCCAGCGAATACGCTGCGAAAGGCAAAATACCAATGGGCCGGCCACATCATGAGAAGAACAGATGACAGATGGACATTGAGGACATTGGAGTGGACTCGCGAAGCGAAACGTCCCCGAGGAAGACTATCGACGAGATGAGCAGACGTGTTCGTGGAACGGATGGACCAGCTGAGAAATCAGCTGGATACGATTTTCTCCCCTGGAACTTGTGGACACAGCCACCGACGACGACCAAGAAGATCTTGAACGTCTGAAGCGAGGGACAGGGATAAATGGCAACTTCTTTACTGGGCCCCGCACACCACATGAGGACTGGCCATCTAATTGTAAGTATCTGATGAGGAAGGTACTTTCAATGGCCGTGACCTTTTGATGTGGGATGCCTATCATCTGAAGCAGTTACGAACGCCGATTCTAAATCTGCTTTCCTTTTTTTGCAGAGCGCTCTTCTGAAGAGAACTATAGAAGCCTGAAAATCCTCTTTTGGGGGCGATTTTTGAGTTAGAGAGCGCTGCTATTTGACTGGTGATGCAGTGGTGTAATGGTCAGTTGTTGACATTGAAGGCGAAAGGCCGAGGGTTCGAATCCAGTGCAGAGCGTACTATTTTGCACTACGAATGTGAGTTTAAGCACCACTCTAATTCGTCTGCATTTAACTGTAATGACCTTGGCAAATGCGACTTAAGGAAAAAATTTTCTTAACCGCTTGCTTGTTGAGATTTTTTTTCTCCGCAAAAGGGTTCATGTACAGAGTTAAGAGAAATTAGAAAGTGAGCAAAACACAGACATTTCTCACGACGGTAACAGGTATGAAGACAACCTCCGCGCAATTCCCATGCTCGCAAGCACCCATTAAGTTACTAGGGGAACAGTATTGGAGTGGCGTTTCAAATGAATTCAAAACCTTCCAAATAAGTTCATTCAAACCGGATTCGAACCACCGACCTTCCGCCTTTGATGCCAACAACTAACCATTACACCACTGCACCACCGAAGCACGTAGCAGCGTCCTCAAACTCAAGGAACGCCCCAAAACAGAATATTCAGACTTTCATAACTCTCTTCAGAGGAGCGCTCCGCAGAAAGGGAAAGCAGATCTGATATCAGCGTTCGAAGCTGCTTCAGATGGTATGCATCTTATGTCAAAAGGCCTCAGCCATTAAAAGTACTTCGTATCTAAGAAGTTTTTCGAGCTTTCTATGCGACCTGCATGAGTTAGACAGGGACGAAAAAGCTTGCACTATGCAAAAATCTCGACAACGAAATTTTGGTGAAACACTGCCTCTAGTCCTTTCCAAAACCTTCAAATGGATTTTGAAAATTAGCCGAACTTTGATAGAAACGGCGAAATTATGGTTCGGAAATGAAATCAAGCTCCATCGAATGCATGTTGAACCTCATTAAGATCTGTATTGTACGTGGTTTTACAATCGTTTGAAAAAACCGACAAAACTTTCGCGACAACCTAAGATATCAGGAACCTTCAGTTATCACTCTCAACAATAAATATCCTACTTCCCTCACGAGGACTGTCAAACACCAGAGTATCAATCCATTATTCCTTGCAGCATGTCATTCTCCCAGCTTAACTTCTATTGTGTGGCTGCCGAGATCGCTCTTTTCAACATTGTTGGGCTTTTTGGGAATGCGCATCTTATATGGATCAGCATACGAAAAAGATCAACCCACAGCAAGTCGGGTTTGTCACAATATAAGCTGTTTTCTTTGTAGATTCATATTCAGAATCTTGATTATAAAGTGTTGCAGGCATTTTGCTTGGCATCAACGCAGTGAATCACACAATTTGCCTTCTGTCAGAGATTGCAAATGCGGTCTTTATACTTTCTGGTAAGCCGTTTACAAGAAGGCAGTGCTATCCCTATATAGCACTGTATATGTTTACCATTTGTCAGCAAGTCATCTTGACTTTAATGATATCACTGGATCTTCTAGTGGCATTGATTTTTCCATTTCGGTGAGTCAAATTTGTTAAACGCAGAACAAGCAGTTCTAATGTGAGGATTGACTATATGTGTTCGCCTTTTTTTAGATTTTTTTTATAATACTTTTGCACCGACATTGAATCACTGGTGCTGGTATGATCTTCAATATTTAGTTGTTTAGCCAAATATTGTGCGGGCTAGCCAACTTGTCCTGAGAATTCCAGATGCTTTTTTATTCTGCTGGCTAATAATCACGAAACTTTCAAAAAGGGCATAGATGTAGCCGTATCACCGAAAATTTTTTTCACAGAGCTGGTTTGCATTTTTATGTTGAGAAATTTGAAATATGGAAAGAAAAACACTTGTCCTTAAGATTGCGTAGGCTACATACTTTCAGTAATCCTACAAGGGAATAAAGGAGAAGTAAATTTCTACTTGGCTAAGGTAGCAGAAAATGGTAAGCAATTTGTTGGAACCTCATAGATAGAAGAAACTTTGCATTTTACAAGGAGAGAACTTCAACAAATGCAAACAGCATAGTCTCGAATTCGGTATCTGTGAACGCCTAACTTCAAGTGTTGTTTGGAACTAATGTGGCAGTTATCTCAAGTAATTCTACCTCTAGGTATCGCATAATCCGCACAACACCTTATATTGTGACAGTCATGGTACTTTGTTCATCCTATTCTCTTCCTGTGGCGGTGTGGGGATGGATAAACATGAATGACGACGTGATTCCTTTTTGCAATCCACCATTAGGTAAAGTTTGTGTTGTTTAATGTACCTTGCATACAACACATTTTTAGGGTTGGCACCACGTGTTAGTCGGTTTTGGTCATCCTCAAACGTTGTTATAAGCGCCTTGGTCGTGGTCGTATACGCCCTGATAATTGGTTTCATCGCAGCGAATGGTGGGGACTGCATATGTAACCAAAATTTTGGATAGCCATTTATGTAATATTTTTGCGTCCATGGCCTTTTATTGGGGTTATATGAAGTCTGCTAGCTTGAGTATGACCAGAATGGAAATAGACTAGTCGCGAGAGAGAGCTTAAATTATGCTATGTTTGAACATCATAACACTCGCAAACATAAGTTAATCACTCAGATTTTATTTCAGCAGTCATTAAAAGATTTTTAGGATTTTTTTTCGAGCGTAGGCTTATAAAGCGTAAGCCCTATAAATGCTATCTATTAGTATTTCAGCAAAATCACGCACTTGCGCTGATCAGCGTAAGGTCATAAGACGTTTGCAAGTCGTCATGATAGTCTTCATATGTTCATGGTTTACAGCGCTATTAGGAGTGGACATGGCAGTCTGGTTTGATTTCCCTCCAGATATCACTCCCATATGGCAAAGCAATATGGTATGTTCAATTTGTCTTCTAGGATAGAAGCTATGGCCCCTTCTAAAAAGTTCATCATCAGATCATTCTTGTGGAATTTCTGTTAGTTTCTCCTTTTATGCTTTCCATTTTCATATAAGTTCATTTCGAAATTTCGTCCCATTGAAAACAGGAGATTTTCTATAATTCTGTTTCCTCACTCAGCATTTCCATCTAGAAAAAGCGAATTTTTTTTTTGAAATAGTGAATAGCGTTTGGGGAACTCTGCTAAGAGCACAAATCAAGCAATTCTCTCCCTCAAGTGCTGTAAAGTTCCTTTATAAGAATGAATCAAAGGCCAAATGTGAGTAATCTTTACTATAGTTGCCCTAGATGCAGTAATCACATTGGTTCATAAATCATATATGTTCAGATCATCTTTGCACTGATCTGTTACTCGCAAACGTTCTATGTGTGTATATGGCGTTCGCCAGAGTACAGATTAGCATTCAAGGAACAACTGAGATACATGGCCTGCAGGAAACCGATGCGACTGTGTTCTGAGTCTACCAAAAATCCATCTACGATCGATGTCCGATAAAAGCCCTTCAGAATGTGATTGTTGCAATCAGTTCATTTTGCTATGTTTCACAGACCACGCTTAGGCTTTTTGTGTAATTGTTTTTGGTTGTAAAACGATTGTTAACGAGACACATAAATCTCATATAAGACGCAAAACTTTTTGCAGATGCTTTAAAACACTGAGATTTTGCGAAACAGGAGCGTACGTCTGCAGTTATTGATGCGATACGATAATCTTCTTTTTGGAACCAAAAAAAACTTCTGTCATTTGCACAAGTAATTTTAGTAGATTGAACCAGTCAAACTAATCTACTATACAAAACGCAATTCTTTTTTTTTTGCCTGAAAGGCGATAAGCTCAACCTCACCGCTGTAAAGTGAGGAATAGTTGCTTCAAATAGAATTCATCTAGATAAGGCACATTACAGTAGAGGGGTCCGTGGCCCGGAATGCTTTGTGTCCTAGCTACTTAAGATTAAGGGAAAAATCTAAGCATATTGCACTATAATTGATTGCTCCTTTCCCTTGTAAGTTTGTGGAGCAACTGGTTGATTGCTCACTCCTCTCATGCAATACTTGAAAGTTCGAAAAAAAATCCCTTTTCTTCCAGGAAACATGCACTTGTAAGTGATTCAATGTTCCACCCAAGCGCAAAAAAAATCTACTATGTGAAGGAAATGAGGGATCAAGTGATCTGAACAGTTTTGAATGGTGCTGTACTTTTCCTTATCATGATCTTGCTTATCTTATCTGTATTGTGTATCAGGCACGTGGCGGCATGCGTATCCTCCCGGCCGCTATATAAAGCGGTTCCGCTCGGCTAAAATCACTTTTGTCTTCGGGTTACCTAGCGTGCGGACCAATCAAGCAGCCGAGCCGAGAGGAGACGCAAGCCACCGAGCGCCTGGAGGAGGATCTTCAATAAAAGGATTTGCAACACACCCCTAGACACCACGCCGAGCCCCCGCGATAGCGCCAAGAGTAGGCCAACTATTGCGTGACTTGGGGGCCGAATCAAACGAAGGACTCCTCCGCCGAAAGGACCGTTGAACAGGTCAAGGCGTGTAGCCTGCCATTGTAACGGCAGTGTATATTTCCCTTATTGAGAAGAACTCGGTGCTGCACATCGAGCCTTCTCAACCGTGGGGAGAAGCGCGTCAGTTACACGGCCAGCTTCAGTTCTAAGGGGCGAGGCGTACGCGCGTGTACCGAGTACTGACAAAGCTTCTCGGTTAGGGAAATATACACTGCGTTGGTGTATCATATACACTACTGAGGCCCGCTTGTGTGAAGAGCGGAGCGACGAACGCGTGAACTGTTTTGATATATCGAAAGTTCAAATATCGTGTTCGCGTCGCGTATTAGCAAGGAAAAGGGAAGAGAACAAAGAAAGAAAACATTCATTTCAGACAACCATGACCGAAGATATTGATGATATGGAAATCGACAAGCTTCTCTTGGATGAGCCATCGCACTCAGAACAGCTTGAGTCGATGAACAAAACGCTACAGAACTTGGTAAATGTCGTTCAGGACATTGTCAAGAAGGACAAAGCACAGGTAAAGCAAGAACTGACGCGCTTGAAAGAGGGACTGGAAGCGCTTACAAATTTGCCAGAAACGCTCGCAGCCCAGCCTGAATTAACTACTCGCGCTCAGTCCAAATCGCGCGAAGCTTTGGTAGGCTTAGCACGCGACTGCATCATGACTGAGTGTGAGGGAATCAGGAAAGTGCTGGAAACGCTAGGAAAAGTAGCAGAGGACCTCAACTCCGCAGAAAACTTGCTGACTCAAAGGCCACTCGCTATTTATCGGACGCTAAAGCGTGGCGCGAGTAGCCTTAAGCTCATTGATGACCTGGTAGCGATCATGAACGTCCAGCCTGCGCTTCTTGTAAGAGCAGTGAAAGAAATGAAAAACAACTCTAGCAGACCTAAATCTCAGACCATTCAGGTACCATCGGTCGAGCCGGTACCTTCAACGTCCCAGCAGCCGGCGATCTCGCAAGAGAACGCCGAAGAGTTTGGAGACGTAGTCTACTTTGCGGATTTCGATCCGATAGCCGCGGCACAAGGCAAGTCCCAAGCACAATTAGTGAGAAATGGGACGAAGGATAATCCCCCTCAGTTTCAGCGCGAAAGGAGGAACTCGTCGCGAATGACAGTGGCATCGAACCTATCTACGTCCAGCAGCCAGTCGCAAGGTAGGTTCAGCGATCGCGACACTCATCCTATGGCGCAGATGTTCGCTGCGATGACCCTGCCGGACGTGGAAACTTTTAGAGAACCACAAGGAAAAGGGTGGGATGAGTTCGTAATGAAATTCAAAATGAAGTACGGCGGCTTGGGGTTGCGAAATGAGATGCTAGTGCAATTGTTCTTGTCGAAACTAGGAGGACACCCAAGGATGGTCGCAGAAGCGTTACCACGAAGGATCAGAGAGGGTACTCTAGAGAAAATCATTGAGGCAATGCAGAGTCAGTTTACCGTCCACGACTCTGCAAACCAGATGAAAGCGTACATGGACCTCAAACAACTGAGAATGGGTGGGGACCTAGCCTCATACTGTGTACAGCTGGAAAGGTTAACGCAAAAAGCGTACCCGGATGCGTCAGAGAAGGAGTTGTCAAGGACTCGTGCAGGAGAACTGGTGTCACAACTAGTCAGATGGCCGGAGTACTTACAGTTCTTTTCAATGATGGAGAGCGCGCCTAAGGAAATGGCTTACGAATTGGTAAAAACGATGGCACAAAGATGCGTGCGAAGTAAAGAAGTGGCGAACGCAATGCTCCAAAGTACGGATTCCGCGCCAAACACTGGTGTCAAGAGAAACCTATCTGGCAACAAGAACAGAACACAAGTGACGAGTAAGCCCGCTGAACAGACGGATACTCCAAACTCAACCAGAAGAAGGCAACCGCGATGTTACAACTGTAACGGAAGCGGACACTACAGTCGCGAATGTACCAAGCCGAAGGTAACGAAGACGGCGAGAAAGGAGCCTACAGCGGAAGCACCTAAAATTTTCACGACCTCTCTAAATAAATGGATATGCAGCTCTCTCGGGACGGCACTGAACAAGAATGACTTGGTAGGAGAGCAAATGGTCATGAATGTTCGCTTGCTAGGTTTATCTCGGAAAGCCCTCATAGATACAGGTTCTCAGGTCAGCATCATACCATTGAATATGCTCATAGCCAGCCGAGACAGCGGATTCGACCTAGATGCAGATGTCGAAGAGCTGCCGATAGACAAGCTTGCACCAGTACATGATGCCTCAGGCAACCAGATGAGCTTCAAGGGAGCCGTCAGACTGACTCTTCAACTGGATAATCGCGTGAAGCACAAAATAGCTCTCTTTGTGATGGCAGGAGGGGATGATATGATTGTGCTCGGTACGAACGCATTATCGAAACTCGGTCTGAACCTCGCAAACATCAGAAACACTCTGGGTAGTAACAAGTCCGACAAGTCTCCAAACGAAAAAAAGAAACAGCGATCTGAAGCAGTTACTATCGCGAAGAGAGTGTACGTCGGTCCAGGAGAAACCAAAATGTTGCCGATTTCTCGAAAGGGACCGCCGGAAGAGGGAATCCTCTGGTCTAAATGCGGGATACTCCCCGATATGGTTTGGGACAAACGATGTTGTTCCATAAACGTCCCGGTAACCAACGACTTGTCAGGAGCCAAGCTTTTCCGAGAGGGGGAAGAGATTGGCACATTCGAACCAGCGGAGATAGTCGAGCAACAACCGCTCAGCTATCATGGAAATATGCTGGAACGGACCGCTGTGGAGGTGCATGATAGAGAGGAACACCTGATGAGGCTGTTGGAAAGCAACAAGTCGAGCAATATGCTTGAGAGGAGCGTGCAGGATCTGATAATACGTCATGCGGATGCTTTTGCAGTCACCGACCAAGAGCTATCGCAGACAGATTTGGTGGAACACGATATAGAAACTGGAGATGCAACACCAATACGGCAAAAACCGCAACCAGTGCCACTCGCAACTCGAGTGGAGCTTCGTCGCATCTTGAACGATCTCCAAGCTAGAAAAGTGATCGAGCCGAGTAAGTCAAGTTGGGCTTCACCCATTGTGCTTGTCCATAAGAAAGATGGATCACTCAGGCTATGCGTAGACTACCGCAAGGTGAATAAAGTCACCAGAGTGGATAGCTACCCGCTGCCGTCGATCGACTCCATCTTGCAGAGCTTGGGAGGGAAGTCGTTCTTTTCGACTCTTGATCTGTCTTCTGGCTACTGGCAGATAAGTCTCTCCGAAGACGCTAAACAAAAATCCGCTTTTGCCACCACGGAAGGTCTCTTTCAATTCCGGGTGTTGCCATTCGGACTATCAGCTTCTCCTCCAGTTTTCCAGAGGTTGATGCATAACGTCTTGGGCGCTCTTTTGGAGAGCGGAGAGGTGTTTTGCTATCTGGATGATATTATCGTAGCTACGGATTCAGTCGAGAGGCAAGTGATCATGCTTGAGAGAGTCTTCGAAAAGCTGGAAGAGGCAGGACTCAAACTAAACCCGAGGAAATGCGTGCTGTTTGAAAGGAAGGTGGAGTTTCTTGGTCACGTCATAGACCAAGATGGCTTACACATGGACCCGACTAAGATAGAGGCGATTCTGAAATACCCCTTACCGCAGTCGCGTTCACACCTCCGAACCTTCCTTGGAATGTGTTCATACTATAGAAAATTCGTGCTCGGCTTTTCTAAAGTAGCGGGCCCCCTGCATGAGCTAACCTCGGAGAAGAAAAAGTTTGAATGGACTACGGAGACGAAAGCAAGCTTCGAAAAACTAAAAAGGATCATTACCAAAGCACCAGTCCTCGCTCAACCGGATATTGAAGGCGCGCGAAGTGGGATGAAACCCTTCAAGATCCACACAGATGCCAGCCAACAAGGCCTGGGTGCAGTCCTTAGCCAAGAAGGAGACGACGGGTTACTGCACCCGATCTTTTTCGCATCAAAAGGCCTAACAAGCTGCGAGAAAAAGTATCATGTCACGGACCTCGAGGCTCTGGCTGTG